CAAAGGAAATGGTAATGCTAAAATACCTATCATATGCACAGTTTTCAAAGCATTTCCAAATGCATAACAATAGCAATCACCCATTTAGTACTATATGGTACAGGCTTTACATTCACCAGGAGTCAAACCCGCAACCTTGGCATATCCGGACAATGCTCTAGAGCTACCCGGCCAGAGCCATTACTTCATTTAATCCACACAAAACTATCAAGATAGGTATTATAATATCCATTTTACAAAAAGTGAACAAGCTAAAAAACCAGGCCACAGTGGCCGAACCAGGATTTAGAACCAAGGTTTGTTTGCCTCCAAAGCCAACTCTCTATTGTACTATTCTGCTTTATTTCACCACTCATCCTTGCACATGTTCTGTAAAGTAGACTTTGAGCTCCATGAAGATAGGGACTGAGTATCTGTCTTATTTCACCACTGCATCTAGTGATCAATAAATATTTGTTAGATGAATGAATGGAACCTAGATGAGGCCCAGAGAGATTAAGCAATTTATCCAAGATCACACAGCCACTATTTAACAGGGCCAGGTTCTCTGATTCCAAATCCCATGCACTAGAAACTAAGATCCTACAGCATCTGAACTATATGTGTATCTTGGGTAGGGATTTGGAGTGGGGAGAGGCATATAGGACAAACAAGTGAAATAACAGAAGAGTTTTTATTTGTCTTATATAAATGCTGAGATCCTATATGAGTGAAGGTAAAGCTGAAGACCATGACTGGAAAAGGTGAATTTGGAGCAGTCAGAAGATGGAACATGTGAATTAAAGATGAAGCAGTAAAAGCAATGCTAGATCAGGAAACAGTCTGGGCTAAGAAGAAAGTAAATTATATTCAGGGGACTAGAGCCAGCCCCCAAATACCATGTCATCAGTCACAAGGGTATGGGGGTACATGCCAATGGCAGCTTTGCCTATTAATCGAAGCAGAATAAGTGATTCCATGTGGTGAAGGACTTCTGAGCCAAATCGGCCAAGATTCTGTTTGCCTGAAGCTGAACTATCTGCCAAACTCTCCCAAAGTACTGGCTGAACACCCAGACTGGAAATGAGAAACTCAAAAATAATGACTGTGGTGGGAGGTAGGGAGGTTGGAAGAGAGAGTTGCCGCAGAATCTGAAGCCTGATTGCTCTTTGTCAGTATTATCCCCTTGTTCCCTCAGCCTGTCTAAGGAAATGAAAAAGTTTTTACAGGACACTCAGTTTAGCCAAATCAGAGGCTCTCCAGGTAACACAGACAAGAAAAAGGATACACTCCTCTACAATTTTAATAAACGCCTGTAGGTTTCCAAGAGGAAAGATTCAGATTTAGAGTGACTGACCCTGGCTTCTCCTATGCTCAGAGGCAGGCCTTCCCTTGGTCTCATCGCAGAGAAACCTGAAGCAGCAGGACAATAGCTGATGGCAGTTCCATAACATAGCCCTGCTAAATGTAGCAATTAAACTAGAAAAAACTATATTCCCTCACGATGAATTTCAGAATGATATGCATCTGTATTCCCAGCAGCTAGCAAAGTGCCTGTCCCACGGTAGAAATTCGAAAGGTTGAAGAATAAAGGGAAACTGATGGTAAATATATCAATAGGCACATATAACAAAATGGACCTAAAAATCTGTTGCCATAGGACTCTTTAGGTTTACACTGTCAGGATTTAAGAGTGGGAGAAAATGAGATGTGTTCTTCCCAAGGAAATATGAACCTATAAGTTTTGAGATAAAACTCATTTTTAAGTACCCATCAGGTGCCAGGTGCAGTATCTCATTTAATCCACATAATAACCCTAGAGGAAACTGAAGCTCGATGTGGTAAAGTCAATTCCCCAAAGACAGAGTGGCAAGTGACAGAGGTTTAAATCTGGGATTTAATCCAGACTTGTCTGACTCCAAACCCTGTATATGCTCTTGTCACTACACTTTCTTAGGGAGAAAAACAACCTCATTACTGTCTATTGAGAAGGCCTGCAACCTTTCTCTGCATTATTATTAAACTTGAAAATTAAAGATTTAGTCACTCCACGTCCGGCAGGACTTGGCCAACCAGAGAGAAGTGATGTCTCAGAAATCCCAGACCTAAATTCTATATCCCACGCCCCTGGCTATATATTTCTCGTTACACTGTAACTCTGGAGCTCAAACTCAGGAAATTCTGCACTAGTTACACAAAACAACAAAGAAAGTCCTCACATTCCCCTTCTCAGAAGCCCTAGAAATTAGGCATCTTTAAGATGAATATTTCTAATGGAAATCGGATTTCTGCCTGGCTCGTTTCCACAGAATTTAACATTGAAAGAGCCAGGGCCCAGCCTGAGTTTCTGGGCAAAAGCCAGGAAAACAGAGCCAGACAGATAGGCCAGAGCTGAGAGGCTCCATACTAAAAAAGACACCAAAGTGAGGCACTAAGTCACAGGAAGCTGGCGTGAGCTCAGTGGTATGGGTCCAGATTCAAAAACAGTTATTATAAGTCACTTGTGAAGGCTCTACATTATTCCCCAGCCAATCTGAAGTTGCATTGGACATTTTAGAGTGACGGTCAGTAAGAAGAAAATGAAGACGTCAAAGAGATGGAGTAAACTGACAGGGGGGCCCGGGAATTGTTGGGATCACAGAAGAAAGGCTGAGCCTATGGATCAGAACCGTCTTGGATCTCAGATAAAGGGTAGGAGTCCACACAATGGGGACCTGTCCTCGAAGGCCGAGAGATGTTAAGGCACTAAGCTACAGAAGGGATTCCATTTCTGAAGGAGAAAAGGTTGGGAGGAAAAGGGGGTTGTCTCTGTAAGAGGGGGTCCCTGAGAATATGGTAGTAACTCAATGAAGGGGAGGGGTGAGGCGAAAACGTGTGGATGAGTGTGTGCGTGTAGCCCAGAAGGAAACTCCCCAAAAGGAAATGCATGTGAGGGCTCTGCGCCAGGAAAAGCGGTCCAGAGGACTGTGGGAGCAAGGCTCGCGTACAGGGGTGTCCCGCAGGAGGCCGGACCCGCAGACTCACCTCGGCCATAGCCCTGCGTGTGCTTGGCGAAGCTCCTCACCACAGCCTCCACAGCCTCCCGCAGCACCGCCGGGCTGCCGGCGGCGCCGGGGAGCAGAGGCAGTCCGGGGGCCCCGGACAGGAGCAGGGGCGGCGGGGGCGGTGCGGGGGGCGGTGGAGCCGGCGGGGAGCCCACTGAGGGTGTGGCGGGGGCAGCCGCGGCCCCAGTCACTCCGGGCCGCAGCGCTCGCAGAGTGCCCCTCCCGCTGGTGCCCACTCCAGGCTGCAGACGCTGCGCTCGCATCGTCTCCATCCCTGCCGCCAGTGGAGTAGCGGCCCAGAGCCTGCCAGCCTGGCGAGCTGACGGTCCCAACCACCCCGGCCAGCTAGCGCCCAGGGACTGAAGGCGGTGCCAGAGCCCAGCCGTCAGTCAAGCGGGGGCGGGGACGAGCCAGGTCCTATGCCAATCACCAGAGAGGGGGCGGGAGCGGGCGGGCTCCAGCTCCGCCATAGGCAAATTATTGAGGAGGGTGGAGGTTCTGAGCACCCAATTGCAAAGAGAAAAAGCGATAGCCTCTGTGGGAGAGAAGCTTAGCTTGCCCAAAAGCGGGCCAGACCCCTGGGTCGAGGCTTGTGGGGGCTTGGCCTGGAAGCCAGGCTCGGAAGAAGTGTAGGCAGAGGGAGAGGATACCTGGAGATCATTTGCCTGACTACTTCATGTTATAGATGTGGATGAGGAAAATGGCTCAGGGAAGTGATGGATGTGACTTATCCAAGATCACATGCAATTGACGGAGGAGCTAAAAGCAAGGGAAGATGCTGATATTTAATGAGAAAATATCTACTATATATTAGACACTACACAATGTACTTAGTGCGTTGTCTTATTTAATAATCACAATCACTGCCTGGCGGGTGGCTCAGTGGCTGAGCATCGACCCATGCACCAAGAGGTGGCTGGTTGGATTCCCAGTCAGGGCACATGCCCAGGCTGTGGGCCTGATCCCCAGTGAGGGGCATGCAGGAGGCAGCCAGTCGATGTGCTCTCTCATCGATCTTTCTATCTCTCCCTCTCTCTAAAATAAAAAAAGAAAAAATATTTTTAAAAAATCGCAATCACTAACTAGATTTTATTATTTTATGAATAAGAAAAAACAGAGAGGCTAGATAAATTGCCCAAATTAAATAGCTAGGAGATGGCAAGTGGTGGGGGTTCAGACATAGGTCTTCTGATCAATATTTTGATCTTTACATTATACCACATTGTCGGGTAATTTTCTGATTTCACCTATTCTAAGTTGGGGGAGTAAGAAAGAGTAGAATGAGCTGCTCCCTCACCTCCTATTAGAATACATACAGAAACCCAGCAAACGAAGAGGCCCAGAGAGCAGATTAAGACACTCATACCCTTGTTCTTAGAACCTGTCAGGCTGGGTTCTTCTGAGTAGTCTTACACACACACACACACACACACACACACACACTACACACCCTTTGTCAGTTAACCATCATGCCATTTTTACCTAGGTAAGTTTATACAAATTCCTCTCTCTCTCTCTCTCTCTCTCTCTCTCTCTCTCTCTCTCTGGGGAAATAGAAGCCAGAAGAAGAAATGAATGGAATGCACCTGGTGAGTGAAAGTTAGAACCCGGAGGAAAACCTGTGATTGGTCAAGAAAGAGGAAGCTTGAAAAAGGGAAAGTTAATTAATCTCCTGGAATATATCTGGTGATGGTGGAAGGAGGAACTCTTTGTAGGAGTTTTTAAAAATGTGAGGATGGACATTGGGGAAACTGGGGAAATTTGAGGATAGACATGTCTAAATGCCTTAAAACCTTGAGGACACAGGACACTTGCCTTTTCTTGTACAACCACAGTTGGTCAGTGCACTCCTGGAAAGGTGGTGGGACCTCTATGTATCCCCTAGATCATTATAGCTATGGTTAGCATCACCCCTCTCTCCCCATTCCTCATTCCCCATACCTCACACCCCCTAGGCAGAAGAGACAAAACAGAGACTTCTGAACACATTTATTTGATATGTCAAGTGGAGAGAGGAGTGCTTTAGGGTTACTCCCCACTTCTACTGCAGGGGTGTTCATAAGCTCAGACAGACAAAAGAGCAGTTAGAGCCCATAACCTACCCCTGGGAAAATGAGACAACTTATTGTATTGGTTGGGGGCACAGGGTGGGAATAAAAAGCAGGAAGTTGAGAAGTAAAGCTGAGAGCAGGAAAGGCAGCAGCAGAACTGAGGCTGGGGATTGCTGCAGGAAACCCCCAAGGAGAGTGAAGAGTGGTTAGGACTGGAAGCAGGGTGTGGACGAGGAGCCAGGCCTGGAGAGAGAAGCAAGACCTGCAGAACAGGGTGAAATATTCACGAAGATGGTAGAGTGTGCAAAACCATGAGCGGGCTGTATTTCAGGGCATACATGGAAAGCAAGGGATTGCTTCTGTAGGAGGGCAAAGAGATTGGAGACTACCCATAAGTAGGAGTTCCCTACTGCTTCTGAAAAAATGCAAGTGAATTTGGGACCCATGTGGGGCCCTAGCACAAGTGGCCTGTGCGTGTGCCGTGCCTGTGAGTACACAAGTAATTCTCATATGCATGTGAAGTGACCAGAGCATGAATGCATGTGTCTATATACCCAGTAAAAAGAGCACTTACCCTTCCCTGCGAATAGAGTTAACTGTGCTTGTGGACACGTTTGCCCAATGTGCGTGCACCGTGCCCAGGAGCACATGCAAAAGATCCCGATGTCCGTGGTGTGTGTGTGTGCGTGAGCTGGTTCTCCCACCTGTCCCATCAAGGTCCTGATCCCCACCCTCCTGGCTTCTTTCACTCCTCTCAGCGCCCTGGCTCCCCTGGTCCGCCTAGACTCTGGAAGCCCCCTAGCAGGCGGATCTGCTCAGTCTGCATGGAGTGGCGCCTCACCAATTTGCGCTTGGTCCTGGGAGAGCCTGGCGCCCCCGCCTGGGGAGGCACGGGCAGCGAAGGCGCCCGACCTCCGGCTTGGGGGCGAATGTCGGGGATGGGAGGGTGGGGGCTGACGTTGAGCGGGGGCAGGAAACCCGGCCGCGTTTGCGAGATGTGGTCCAAGAGCAACGTTCCCGAGCCCCTCCGCTCCAGCAGCCCCGGACTCCGCCTCCGCCCGCTCAGTGGAGACACCGCCCCAGGCAGACTTTCCTGGGACTGGCGCGGGGAGGGAGCCGAACCTGCCAGAGGGAGAGTCAGCGGGGAGGCGCTGTACCGGCGGCGCTCCAGGGACGGGCGGCTGCACTCCGGCGAGTCAGGGCAAAGATTTCCCGGCATGTCGAGCTCCACCGGCTCCATGCGGCTCAGTTTCTGCCTCAGCCCTGAAGGGGGACCAGACTCCTGAGCTTCCGGCGCGGTGTTTCGGCGAGAGAGGGCACCCCAACCCGTCACTTTCTCCACCCACGGGGGCGGGTCCTCCGGGCCCTCTGTGCTGTGACGTCTGGAAAGACGGGGCCGGCCGGTCAGGGTCAGACCGTTGAAGTCCGCAGTCAGGCGCTCTGTCCCCAGCCTCCCTTCCGCGGGCGGGACCGGTTGCGGAGGTGCCACTAGGCCCCAGGGCTCGGAATTGAGCCTTTTGAGTGGTTTTGGAGGGTGACGCGGTGGTTTGGGAAGGGGCTCAGAAGGGGAAGGGTCATCTGGGGGCTTAGGAAGAGGAAATTCAAATACGTCCCGCTTCTCCTCTTCTTCCTGGGTGCGAGGGGATATCAAACCCCGTCCTCCTCCTGCAGTCTGCAGTTGGATTTCCGAAGGCGACGTGCAGACCCCCGGGCTAGGAGGAGCGGGAGTGGGGTCCTCTACCCCCGGGGATGGTGGAGAATTGAGATACTGCCGGGTCTTTTTGGTGCCTGAGGGCGAGGTGTCGGTGGTGATGATGATGACCTCCGTGCCCTTGGCCTTACAGGCGTCCAGCAGCGTGGCAAGGGTCTCGCGGTCCCCGCGGTCCAGGGCGTGGACAAGCGCCGAGGCGCCCGTGTGATCTCGGACTGAGGGGTCTGCGCCGTGGGCAAGAAGCAGCGAAGCCACTGCGGCGCCACCACCCCCAGCACAAGCATGCATGAGCGCGGTGCGCCCTAGGCGGTCTGCGATGTTGGGGTCTGCGCCGTGCTCCAGGAGGTAGCGTACCATGCGTGCCTTGTTCTGGGGGTCGTCGTAGCGGGCCCGACAAGCTGCCATTAACGCAGTCTCGCCCTGGGCGTCACCCTCATTCACGTAGGCACCGCCCTCCAGAAGCAAACGGGCCAATCGTAGTTTACCCTGACCCACGGCCCGAAGAAGAGCATGGCCCTCTGTGTGCAGCATAGCTGCGGCTGGGGTGAGAGCACTGATGGAGCTGGGACTGGGACCTGCCGAGAAAGGCTAGGGATGTAGGGGTGGTGGCTGGAAGAGGCCTGAGGGCTCAGTGGCGAAGCCAATCCCTGCAAGAAAGAGAAAGATCTTATTGACGGATTCAGGCAGGGAAACTGAGGCACTGGTGGTAGGACCCGGCGTGGGGCGGAGACCTCTACTGCACGGCATACAACCCTTCCTCTAACTCATGCCTTGAGCCGCCACTTCCCCCCAGAGCATGCTTGAGGAGGTGGGAAGGGTGAACCCGCATTAAAAGAACAGCGCGCGTGCAAATGCGTACGTGCACGCTCAGAGATATCCACACCCCCACCATCACCCCACGGCTTATCAGACCTTTCCAGCATCCCCCCTTTCTTATCTGCACTTGGAATCCCCCTTTCTAGGATGCTGAATGCCACCCACCCACGCACATGCACCCATACATTCACACACATATTCCCATTCCTAACCTCTTTTAGGTTGCCACAGCCCCATAAATTGAGTGGGGGGAGGGAAGCAGCTTGCATTTGGGACCTAAAACGGGTGGGGGAGAATTGGGGGTTTCTTTTGCCCCTGCCATGTTCCCCATCACTCCTTGCTCTTTCCCCTCCCAGGCTTTGCGCCCAAATAGATACCTGAATGTCTGCAGAATCTCCGCCCGGCCAGGACTGAGGCCAGGACCACCGGGCAGCCGGGGTGGTGGAGCCAGGTTCCCGGAGGCCCACATGGCTTTGGGGGGGGGCACCCGGATTCCCTTGGTGTCAGTATCTGCGCCCGGGCACCGGATCCTAGTCCCTCCTCCCCGTGCGCCCCGGGCACAGCGCCGGCTGGGGAGGAGAGAAGCTGGGGTGGGGTGGGGGGGGGTGCGAAAGGCGGAGCTCTGCCTTTCTATTTATAGCCCAGTCTATGCGGGTGGGGGCGTCGGGCACCTAACAGTTCTCCCACCCGTGCACACATAAACCCTCTAAACCGACAGGTTCCCATCCTCATTTTCCTTGTGTAGTCGACCTCCCCTCGGTCGCAACAAACCTAAAGGATCCTTAGAAGATTACTCCGCCACCCAGACTGAGACCAACTCAATTCTTTCTTGAGCTTCAGCAGATCCCCATTCTCGCTTGGTGTGTTTCTGCGCGCTTGTGCGCCAAATCTGACCTACCTACCACACACCGCACAGGGTACACTGTGCAAAGCGGTGGAGAGAGGCGACGAGATCTACAGCCGGAGTCCATACGATGCAGAGGGGGGCAAGAGATCTGGCTGGCTTCTCATAGTTTAAATGTCAAGGCGAACTGGAGTCAGACATAGTGGTACATCCTCACTCCACCTCCCCCCAAACGGAACACCCAGCACAGATAAACTTAGACCTCAGCTCCTTTGTACAGACCTCTTAAGTATGAGGAGGGTCATTTTTTTTTTTTAAAGCAAGGGACACTCCCAGATGCCTCTCCACATATTATTGGGGTAGGGGCAGGGAGAAGAGCGAACCTTGTAACACATCTCTCATTGCATCTTTACTCTGTCTTGCTTAGGCTGTTTTTTTCATCTTGCTTGAAGGTCTCTGTCTAAATCGCTCCTTGAGTCTCCCCTATCTGTCGCAATCAGTTTTTCTTACTGTCTCTGCCTTTCCTTGCCACCTGCCCTGTCTCCATGGTTACCATAGCTCCATCTGCATATTTTAGGAATGAGTTTGAGTCCAGCTGGAAGGCATCAGGGGAAGAAGGGGATGAACAAAAAATTCCAAGGATTTGGAAAACTCACCTGAGATAATTCAGAGGCTGGAGGTCACCAAACACAAGATACTAAAAACAAGGGAGGGGGAGAATATTTGCAGGGAAGCTATTCATTTTTACTAGCTACCATTTACTGGACACCAACTATGTGCCAAGTACTTGACATACATTATCTCCAATCCTTACAATAGCACTATAAGGAAGGAGCTGTCTTCTTGTTATAGATGAAGAAACAGACTTAGTAAGCAAGTTCTCCAAAGCCTCACGGCTCTGTTTCTGTCCTGTTCCAAAGGCCCGGCACTTGTCACTACCCCTACAGCCTTCCAAGTCCAGAGGCTTTACTCCCAGGGCCATTTTCTCTGACATCTGGAATATTCTTGACTTACTCCTACATTTTATCACTACTCTGAACTATTTCCCTCTGTTTCTGGGCCGTGTGTGTGTGTGTGTGTGTGTGTGTGTGAGAGAGAGAGAGAGAGAGAGAGAGAGAACTCCTCTACCCACTGCGCCCCCTTTACCAAGGGCTAGGAAGGCAGTGGGAAATGCCGGAAACACTGGGCCCCTCCCCTGCCTCCCCAACTTTCGTTCTCTGATTCCCAACCCTTCCTTTCCCAAACCCTCTTCCCATCTTCTTTCAGACATGGCAGCAACCTACAGAAAAAACATTTTGTTTGGAAAGGAAGTATTCACTGGTGGTGCTAGAGGGAAGCAGTGTAGAACTGAAGGGAAGGTTGGAGTAATGGAGCAGAGGCCAAGCCGTGAAGCCAGGCGCAAAAAGACTGATCTCTAATGGCAGGTTCATTTCTCTGTGGGAGCTCCCTCAATACGATCCGTTGGTGAGATCTGAATGTCAGGTTCCCTCTGTGAACTGTCGCTAGCCGGTGGCTCCTACATCTGAGGTGAGATCGGAAATAACGGACCCCTGGTAGATTCTGCAACCCCATCTCTCTCCACTCCCGGGTTCCGGCCGACTCCCTCCCTCCTCCTGGTCGTCAAGTGGGCGGACCTCCCTCCTCGGCTTCTCCTAGATTGGCGGGGAGAGTTCACCAATGAGGAGCTCCGGGAGGCGGGCCCAGAACGCCACCAGTTTGAGGAAGACGGGCAGATCTCAAGTTGGCTGCGGCTTGGGCTTCGCGTGGGGGAGGGGAAGCAGGTAAGGCTCCGACCTGGTGGCTTTGACCTGGTTCCGTCCCATATTTCCCGAACTAGGGCGAGCTGCGAGATAGACAGACCAAGCTTTCCTGCAGTTTGTTGGACCAGCCGCCTTCTGGCTCCCTACCCTTTCTCTTCTGCGTTCCCATTGCTATATTGATGAACACCAGAAAACCGTAGTTTTCTTTTGCGCATAGGCGAGAGATATTAAAGCAGAAAGTGAGAAAGACTCACCCTCGCACTTCTGACTCTTTGTAATGGCATCAGCTTTCCTCGAATCTATAACATTATTTCCCTGTCTAAGAACCGGACAGACTTCTGCTATCAAGACTCAGGAGAAAGGTTACCAGTATTTCCTACCTGTAGCTTTCTTGGACCACCTTTTTTTTTTTTTTTCCAGAATTAATTGTTCCCCAGTCTGATGATAGCATTTTATGCATGCGTCTATTAGAGTACTTAGTGCACCCTCTCTCTTTAGTGTTTCTAGTCTTCTCAGAATATAAGGTATTGTAGGGCAAGTTCTAATACTTAATATACAATGCCCAATAAAAGTTAATTGAATGGAATTGATTGGGGATGCAGAATTTAAACTCCTAATGTAATTAGAGAACACCCAATAAAAGACAAAATAAAATATAATACAATATATAATTAAGGTCTCTTAAAATTAGTGGTTCAGTCCTGACCGGTTTGACTTAGCGGTTAGAGCGTGGGAGGTGGATCCAAGGGTCATGGGTTTGATTCCTGATCAAGGGCAGGTACCTGGGTTACAGATTTGATCACATTCCTGGTCGGGGTAGAGAGGCAACCAATCAATGTTTCTCTCTCTCTCTCTCTGTCCCTGCCACTCTATCTAAAAAAAAAAAAAAAAAAAAAAAAAAATCAGTGGAAAAATATCCTTGGGTGAAGATTAACAACAACAAAAATTAGTGGTTCATATTATAATTGTTCACACAGTTCAGAGAAGGGGGAAAGCTGGGAAGACTAGGATGGTAAGGAGAGGCTTTATGAATCACAGGGTCTCAAGTTTGGAAGAACTCTTAGAAATCATGTATTCATTCATTCATTTAACAAATATTTGTTGAACATCTACTATATGTCAGACAGTACTAGACAATGGGGATCATAATGGATCCTCTACTCTAGACATGCATCCTTCCTCTGGTAAACCATATTTAGTAAATTGTTATCCAGCTTTTATTTAATTGTCTTTAGTAAAAGAACTCCCTGTTTCACTTTGCGGGTCATTCCATTTTTTTATATTCTTCATTTAATGTCCAACAAATATTCTAAACAAATATATAACTGAACAAAATGCATTCCACACTTCCATTGTAAAAGAGGGACAGCTGCCCTAGTGTGTCTGGCATGTAGTAGATACTCAGTATTTGTTGTAGGAATGAATGCATGCTTTCTAAGCATTCTAACAAACTTGATACCTTGTTATTCATACATCCCCTCACCACCCCAGACCTCCTAGTTTTCTCCTTTCCCTGGACTGTGGGAACAATTATATTATGAATCTCTAATTTAAGAGATTAGTATGTACCCCCCCCCTTTTTTTTTAGAGAGTGGAAGGGAGGGATGGGAGGGAGAAACATCAATGTGAGAGAGACAAATCAATTGTATGCCTCCTGCATGTGCCCTGACTGGGGCTGTGAAGCAAACCTGCAACATAGGTATGTGCCCTTGACCAGGAATCCAACCCACGACCCTTCTGTGCACAGGCTGTTGCTCCAACCACTGAGCCACACAGGCCAGGGCATGTACCCTTAATATGATGTGATGAAATGGTACTTTACTTCTGTGATTCTCCTCCCCCAAACCCATAACACCAGTTTAATCAAGAGAAGAACATCAGACAAATTCTTGCAGAGGAGCATCCTATCATGTACCTGATCATCCTCTTCAAAACTGTCAAGGTCATCACAAACAAGGAAGGTCTGAGAAACTGTGAATTTTAAATTGCTACTCAAGTTGTTTTTTTGTTTTTTAAATAGATTTTATTTTATTTTTTTCCAATTTTTATTAATTTATTTTTTGTTATAGATGTTTCTCCTCCCCCCCCCCCGAGACTCTCCTCCCCATCCCACCCTAGATTTTATTTTATTTATTTTTTTGTGTTTTTTTTTTATCCTCACCCGAGGACATTTTTTGATATTTTGTTCAGAGAGAGAGAGAGAAGAGAGAAACATCGATGTGAAAGGGACACATCGAGTGGCTGCCACCCACACAACCCAACCAGGGCCAGGGACAGACTGCAACTGAGGTCCGTACCCCTAGCGGGAACCGAACCCGGGTCTCTCCGGACCGCAGGCCGACACTCTAACTGCTGAGCCAAACTGGCCAGGGCCTAGATTTTATTTTTAAAAACAATGTTAGCCCTGGCCAGTTTGGCTCAGCGGTTAGAGCATTGGCTATGGACCAAAGAGTTGTGGGTTTGACTCCTGTCAAGGGCATGTACCTTGGTTGCCTTTGGATGCTTGGCCCCGGCTCTGGTCGGGGTCCTGCAGGAGGCAGCCAGTCGAAGTGTCTCTCTCACATTGATGTTTTTCTCTCTCTCTATCTCTCCTTCCTTCCTACTCTATCTGAAAATCAATGGAAAAATATCCTTGGGTGAGGATTAAAAAAACAAAACAAAAATAATTTTAGATTTACAGAAAAACTGAAGAAATAGTACAGAAAGTTCCTATATGCCCAGGCACACAGTTTCCCCTATTATTAGCGTCATATATTAGTATGGCACATAGTTAGAATTAGGAAACCATACTGATATATTATAATTATTTAAAATCATATTTGATTTATATTTCCTTGGTTTTACCTACTGCTCTTTTTCTGTTCCAGGATTCCATCCACTATACTACATTACATTTAGTTGTCATGGCCCTATTTTGTGTGTGTGTGTGTGTGTGTGTGTGTACATGTATATGTATGTATACATATGGACATGAAATTAAAAGAACATTAATATTAAAATATTAATAATGGTTATTACTATATGATGGTCATCATGAAATAATAGGTATTTTTCTTTATACCTTTATGTGTTTCCAAGTTTTCTAGAATAAATGCATATTACTTGTATAATCAGAAAACAGAAGGGGTAGTGTTCTTTATTTTTAACAATGCTACCACTAGGACAGCTCTCCCCTTTTTACAGTGGAAGGGTGACCTTCCTTGTTTTTGGTGACTGGTGGTGGTAAAGGGTACTGGTCAGGTATAAGATAGGATGCTCCTCTGCTGGAATTTGTCTGAGTTTTCTCGTGATAAGACTGGGGTTATGGATTTGAGTGAGAGGGATCACAGAGGTAAAGTGGTAAAGTGCCATTTTCATCACTGCAGTATTAAGGGTACATGTTAATGACATGATTTAATATTATTGAAATTGACCTTGGTCATCTGAGTGAAGTAGTGTTCGTCCAGTTTCTCCAGTGTAAAAAAAAAATATATATATATATATTTATTTATCCTTACCCAAGGAAATTTTTTCCATTTATCTTCAGACAGAGTGGGAGGGGAGAGAGAGAAAGGGAGATAGAGAAACATCAGTGTGAGAGAGACCCATCGATTGGCTGCCTCCCACACGACCCTGACCAGGGCCGGGGATGATCTGCAACCGAGGTACATGCCCTTGACTGAAATCCAACCCGCGGCTCTTTGGTCCATGGGCCGATGCTCTAACCACTGAGCAATCCAGCCAGGGCACTATCTCCCCCTTTAAAAAATTGTACATATTATACAAAATTCCCTATACACAGCCCACACTTAAGGAGAGGGGAGGTTTGCCCTCTGTCTTTAGGAGGGTCTACATAATGTATTTGGAATTCAGTATGAGAGATTTGTATTAATTTATTGAATCATTTATTTATAGTAGTATGGACTCATGGATATTTATTTTATACTTTTGGGCATGATCCAATGCTACTTTATTTTATTGTTCAAATTGTTCCAGCTTTGGCCATTGGTGCTCTTTCGTAGGACTCTTATACTCCTTTGACATAGCCCCGTTCTTGTGTGTTTTTGTTCCTGTTGCTTTAGCACTCCCTGACTTTCTGGTACTAGAAGATACTTCAGGCTCATCTTGTATGTTTCCTGCCTCAGTCCTAGAATCAGCCATTTCTCCTAGAAGCCTTGGTTCCTTTTATCCGAAAATGGTATTAGAGACCAAGATCTGGGTGCTAGATGTGTTCCTTGCTACTGGGGTATCATTTTTTTTCAAGTTTCATTTTCTTTTGGTGACTTTATTCCCCATCCTAGCTGCATCTGACTGTCCCCTCAAGCCTTATGATGACAAAGACGGAGTTCAGTTCAGGAGCAGGAGGAGCTTTCGATTCATCAGAGTTGATCACAGTGGAATGGGTTGCCATGGGGGAGAATGGACAAGCCTCTCTTGAGGAAAATGCCACCAGAGCAGAATAACTACACCTTTCAGAGTGGAGTACTATACCGGGAGGGGGTTTGGACTAGATAACTCTGTGGGTCCTTCCAGTTCTAAGTTCTGTACTTCCAAGTGGTGTTTTATTATTATTTTTTCTTTATTGACTTTTAGAGAGAGAGAGGAAGGAAGAGGGAGGGAGAGAGAGAGAGAAACATCAATGAGAGCCCTGGCCGGTTTGGCTCAGCAGTTAGAGCGTTGGCCTGCGGTCCGGAGAGACCTGGGTTCGGTTCCCGCTAAGGGCACGTACTTCGGTTGCAGTTTGTCCCTGGCCCTGGCAGCCACTCGATGTGTCCCTTTCACGTCGATGTTTCTCTCTCTCTCTCTCTCCCCCTCCCACTCTATCTGTACAAAAATTGGAAAAATGTCCTCAGGTGAAGATAAAAAAAAAAAAAAAAAGAAACATCAATGAGAGAGAGCATTGACTAGCCACCTCCTGCATGCCCAGCACTGGGGATTTGGCCCACAACCTGGGAATGTGCCCTGACTGGGAATCGAATTGGTGACCTCTTGGTGCATGGGTTGACGCTCAGCCACTGAGCCACACTAGCCAGGGCCCAAGTGGTGTTTTATTTTTTTATATATATTTTTTCTTTAATTTTAGAGAGAGAGGAAGGGAGAGGGGGAGAGAGATAGCAACAATGAGAGAGAAGATTGACTAGCCACCTCCTGCATGCCCCCACACTGGGGATTTGGCCCACAACCTGGGCATGTGCCCTGACCAGGAATCAAACCGTCCACCTCTTGTGGATGGGTTGATGCTCAACCACTGAGCCACATTGGCCGGGCCCAAGTGGTGTTTTAAAAGATCAATTTTTCCCTGGCTGGTTTGGCTCAGTGATTAGAGTGTCTGCCTGCGGTCCAGAGGGACCCAGGTTCGGTTCCCGTTAAGGGCACGTACCTCAGTTGCAGTTTGTCCCTGGCCCTGGTTGGTCGTGCGGGTGGCAGCCACTCGATGTGTCCCTTTCACGTCGATGTTTCTCTCTCTCTCTCTCTCTTCCTCTCTCTCCCTCCCACTCTATCTGAACAAAAAATTAAAAAATGTCCTTGGGTGAGGATAAAAAAAAAAAAAGGTCAATTTGGCCCTGGCCAGTTTGGCTCAGCGGTTAGAGCAGCGGTTCTCAACCTGTGGGTCTCTACCCCTTTGGGAGTCGAATGACCCTTTCATAGGTGTCGAATAAGACATAACAGTAGCAAAATTACAGTTATGAATTAGTAACAAAAATAATTTTATGGTTGGGGGTCACCACAACAAGAGGAACTGTATTAAAGGGTCATGGCATTAGGAAGGTTGAGAATCACTGGGTTAGAGTGTTGGCTGTGAACCAGAGAGTCCCGGGTTCGGTTCCCCCTAAGGGCACATACCTCGGTTGCAGTTTGTTCCCGTCCCCAGGGGTCATGTGAGTGGCAGCCACTCAATGTGTCTCTCTCTCACATTGGTGTTTCTCTCTCTCTCTTCCTCCCTCTCTCCTCCCACTCTATCTGAAGATGATTGCAAGAATATCCTTGGGTGAGGATAAAAAAAACAAAAACAAAAGAAAAAAAAGAGATCAATTTGATTGTAATGGTTCGCCTTTCTTCTGCCCACCCCCACCCCACCACTGCTGACAGTGAGTGTGATGATTTATCCCTGTGCCCCCATCCCCCGTAGTGCCTGTCACACTGCTTTTTGCATGTATATAATTAATAAATGTTTTATTGAAATGCATTGAATTGGGGCTTGGTTGGGTTTGGAAAACCAGGGAGAGAGAGAGAATTAAAAGGTCATATGTAGATATGCAGATGGTGATCTAATCACTTTCCCCTTTGTGCTACCGTTACACTATATTGCAGTTATCTATTCTGTTGAGACCATGTCTCATCCCTGTTTATATTTCCATAAATGTCCTGCCTGGCACTATGCCTTCTCAACCAAAATGTATTGAGTTACACTGGCTTTTCAGGTCCCAGGGAAAAAGACTGAGTGTCTTATACCTCCCTAGCTTCCTATCCATTCTACTGTACTTTTTCTCTTTGTTTTTCTCTTTATCAGGTTTTTCTCACTGGATCTCTGAATACCCAGGTCCCCTCCACCATGGCCAGCCGGGGCCGGGGCCGGGGTCGGGGCCAGTTGACCTTCAACATGGAGGCCGTGGGCATTGGGAAGGGGGATGCTCTGCCCCCACCCACACTGCAGCCTTCTCCACTCTTCCCTGTGAGTGTCTGCCCTCCCTTCCCAAGCCTCCCAAGTGCCCCTGGCTGACTGTAATGATCCTGGATATCTTCTGGGCCATCATGAAACCATCCTATCTTGCTCCTGCCTATCTCTATGCACCTAGCTCACATGGGGTGTTTTCCTGGCAAGGAAGTGTCTACCCTTACTTCTCACAACCTAGCTCCCCAGCTTTCAAAATACTGTGTTGCTCCCCTCATTATCCTTTAACCCTTTGCTCAGTAGGAGCAAATTGGATTGAATTGGCGGATGACACCCTCCTGTATTGGTACTCCAGCATTTTCTCCCTGGACTGACCACTGCCCCTGTCTCCTTAGCCATTGGAGTTCCGCCCTGTGCCTCTGCCCTCAGGAGAGGAAGGAGAATATGTCCTGGCACTGAAGCAGGAGCTACGAGGGGCCATGAGGCAGCTCCCCTACTTCATCCGGCCAGCTGTCCCCAAGAGAGGTCAGTTGGAATAGGTGCCTGCCATAAGCAATGCCCTATACTCAGCACTGCTGGGGCCAGAGGTGCCGGAAGAGGCAGAGGAAACTCACTGTCTGACTGGGGAGATCACAGCACTTACCCCTGAATTTGAAATGCATGACAGTATCCATGGTTTATTTTGTGTTTCACAATAGTCTTAGGACAGTAGAAGGGTATTAAGATGCCCATTTCACACTTATAAATGGGGAGATGTGTTACAATTTTTAACAATCTGGATATTACAGGCACCAACCAGTCAGAAGGGGGGCGGTGCTAGGTCTCTGAGGTACCCTGCTAACTAAGTATTACCTTTTTGGCCAGTGGACCACGGAGAAGTCAGGGAGACCAGGCGGGACTGGAGAAGGGGGGGCCTTGGGAGGCTTGCAACAGTGGAGATTTACTGACTGCTGCGGAAGCCCAGCATTTCAGGGTATTGATAGCTGGTGCTTCCCTACGGAAACCTGAAGCCCAGGAGAGGGAAGACTTGTCTAAGGAGTAAAGGGAACATGGAAACCCTGGTTCTTGTTCTCTAGTACACTTTTTACTGCATCACACTACCTCTTGATATAGACATGTCTTTGGGTTAAGGGAGATAAGAAAAAAGTTGTAATCTAGGTGGCAAAGGGACTGGTTACAAGATTGCTGAAGGTCCTCATGAAGCTGACCCCTGGGCTCTGGGTTTGGGCTGGAGGAACAGACAATTCCTAAGTATTGAGAGGGCTGAGCCCTCAGGAACAACCCTGGTCTAGGCCTCTAAAAGGATAAAACTCTGACCCTTGGTCTCTGACCCCTCAGATGTGGAACGTTACTCAGACAAATACCAGATGTCAGGGCCGATTGACAATGCCATCGATTGGAACCCTGGTAGGTGATGGGTCCTTTCATTGACTACTACCCTTCTTTCAAATTTTTGAGATGCCTCAAGCCACCCCATTCACCTCCTTCTTTCTCCCCTCCACCTCATTCAGTATTTACAAACTGGACCCTTAGATGTGTTAGTAAACACTCTCAGGCTCTAGCTAAAAACCTGTTAAATAGCTCTCACTGCCCTGGAGGCATTCAAGCCACCATTTTGTTCCAAACCCCTTCTTTCCTCACCTTCATCCTGACCCGTATTCTCCTTTAAAATCAGTCATCATTCCCGCTATTCCCAGATTGGCGACGTCTACCCCGGGAGCTAAGGATCCGAGTGCGGAAGCTACAGAAGGAGCGTGAGTGTATTTGGGAAAAGAAGGGAAAAGAGAGTTTTTCTTCTTCCATTGGAGGGCCAAGGCCGTGCTTGCCTGCCCTCCCAGTTCCTACCCAAAGCGCCCAGTACAGTATTGTTGCTAGATGCCTTGGTGGCCACTTGAGGGCAGCAGAGTGACATGGTCTGCAGGAAGTTCACTTTTTGATCTTTTTTTCACCAGGGACCACCATTCTACTCCCCAAGAGGCCCCCTAAGACCATAGAAGATAAGGAGGAAACCATACAGAAACTAGAGGTAGGAGGAAATGTGCATAGAGACCACCTGGGCCCCAGATCCAGGCCCTCCTCTTTGGCCCATGTGTGCCTCATTTTTCCCTTCTTCCTATTCATCTTCTCCTAAGACCCTAGAGAAGGCCCTGGCTGGTGTAGCTCAATTGGTTGGGTGTCATCCTGTGCACCAAAAGGTTGCTGGTTCTATTCCTGGTCAGGGCACATTCTTGGGTTGAGAGTTCAAACCCCAGTTGGAGGTTGGGGGGTTGTGCAGGAGGTAGCAATCAATGTTCTGCTCTCAAATAGATGTTTCTCTGTCCCTCTCCCTTCCTCTCTCTCTAAAATTCAATAAAACATCTTTTAAAAACATAAAAGACCCTGGAGAAGAAGGAGGAAGAAGTAACTTCAGAGGAAGACGAGGAGAAGGAAGAAGAAGAGAAGGAAGAGGAAGAAGAAGAGGAGTATGATGAGGAAGAACACGAGGAGGTGAAGGAGACCTCCTGCCCCCCGCAGTTCCTCTCTCTTGGTTTCATTAGCTCTGAGGATCTCAACTCTGTTCACCAGGGATGGTCTCTTCAGAGGGCTGGAGATCCGAGGGAGACAGTGCCCCGAAACGGTGTCGCCCTCCGTTGTATCTGTCCGTAGGCTCTTCTAAAGAGCGAACTAGCCCTGGCCGGTTTGGCTCAGCGGTTAGAGCGTCGGCCTGCGGTACGGAGAGACCCGGGTTCGGTTCCCGCTAAGGGCACGTACTTCAGTTGCAGTTTGTCCCCGGCCCTGGTTGGTCGTGCGGGTGGCAGCCACTCGATGTGTCCCTTTCACGTCGATGTTTCTCTCTCTCTCTCTCCCTCCCACTCTATCTGTACAAAAAATGGAAAAATGTCCTCAGGTGAGGATTAAAAAAAAAAGAGCGAACTACAACTGGAAGGGCTTTCCAGGCCTGGAATGGTGTGACTGGGAGGGAAGGGACCTGGTACACAGGTAGGAAGGAGAATGTCAAAAGCATGCCTGACTTTTCTTTATTTTCTGTTACAGGAAACTGATTACATCATGTCATATTTCGACAATGGAGAGGACTTTGGGGGTGACAGTGATGACAATATGGATGAGGCTATATACTGAATAAGGACCCTAAACAACACCCTGGACCTTCATATCTTTCTGATTTAGGTTACAGAGAGTAACTGTCCCTATTATATGGTTTTGTGGACAAGCAAAGCGTTTGCTCAGTGTCCAGATAACCTGTTTGGTCCCTAAAGATAGAAATGGAGAATGGTGACAGACAGCTCTCTTTTCTGCTCTTCCCTTCCCTCTACCCTTGTGTCACTTCTGATGTCTGGGCAGAAGATCAATGTCTTAATTGTATGAAAGGGTTTCAGAAAAGAGGCTCAAAGAAGAACTGGAATAGTTAGATCTGAGACAGCTGTACACCTGCCCTCACCCATTTTTTATAATTCTTTGTGGAGATAATTGGGGGTGGGGGTAGTTAGGAGGACCAAGGCCAGTTTTACATTTTTAAATAAAATGTTTTTATCTGTCTCTCTGTTCAGGGTGAGGCCTGGTGGGAGGGGGCTGGAAGAATGAAAGGGGTGCCTCGCGGAGCCATTTTCCTTACTGTCAGAGCCCAGTGTGACACCCTGGGGGTTACAGCCTTCCTGTCCCTTGCCGCTCCCCTCCCGCGCCAAAGATGAGACACATGCTCCCAATCTAGCCTTGCTCGGGAATGTTCAGGAAACTCATCTGCGGGGTGCACAGAGTGAGTGGTAGAAACAGCTCAGGCCCTGAAGATCAGCTGACTTTCGAGCCTCTGGTCCTCAGGCTACAGGGACAGGATTGTGCCTGTTCATATGTGTGCACAGGGACACTGGCTCTCCCTTTCCCACACCTGACCTTGAGCTTGTCCTTGTTTACAGAGAATGATTGCGGCTATTTTTGTGAGGAGAGTCAAGAAAGCCAGGCGTGGGGAGGGAATAGAGAGGAGGTGCTGATTCTCCAGCATGCTCACCCTCTTCCAGGCCCTGGAGACCCCACTTTGAAAAATGTGTCTGTGCAGGTGGAACCCCCTGAATGTTCTGTTCTCCACTTCTAGAAGCCACTGTGTGGCTCACTGGCAGTTTCTCTTTTGGTACTTCCTCTGTGGAATTTAGTTAGTCTTTCTCATTTCCTTCTTTGGGTGGAAGGGATCGGCGGTGGTGTTGCTTTACAGGAACCAAGAAGGGTGGGGAGGAGGGGAGTGACTTAGGGACACACAGCTTAGAGAGACTCTTTCTCGCCCACATAGCTCTCCCTTGGGTGAGGTCACTTCCCTAGGCTCTGATTGGCTTCTGAGGAAGCCCTAGATGAGCTGATTGGTTCCAGCCACTCGACATGCAGCAGTCACAAGCCAGCTGCGTGTGCAGGATAAGGACTGAATAAGGAGCCAGGCACAGACAGCAACCCTACTGAACATATGAAAGCCCGAAAGATGGGATGCAGGAGAACCTTTAAGAAATTCTCTGCCCTGGCTCGATTGCTCAGTTGGGTAGAGCATCGTCCTGATATGCCAAGGTTGCGGGTTCCATCCCTATTCAGGGCACATATAAGAATCAACCAATGAATGCATAAATAAGTGGAACAACAAACCTACCTACCTCTCTCTCCCTCTCTCTCTCTCTCTCTCTCTCTCTCTCTCTCTCTCTCTTGTCGATAAATAAAAAAAGAAATTCCCCCAATATTATTCAGTCTGGCACACGGAATTCCCTACAGCATCAAGTGACAGAGACTGACAATATGTTAGATATTTCTGAGCCCTCTGTAAGGAATGAATAGTGGCTGTGACTCCACTGAGGGAAAGCCCCGTGGAAGCCTGGCATAGGTGCGGCAGTAGGTGTTACAGCAGAGGCAGCCAAGAGAACAGAGAAGGAAACTGGAATAGAAACAGAACATTCCGAGTTATTGAGCCATTTGAGATTAGTGTGTTTCCTTTTTAAGCTCTCTGAGGTGTTGTGAGTGGAGTGGGGTAGGGAGAAGACCAGCCACTGGGGTTTCCTAGTCACACTACAGCCTGTGATGTGGTTAGGGAGAAATCAACAAGAAAAAAAAAACTCTAAAAGACACTGGAAAATCTCCCTTTGCCTTTCTCTCCTACATACATGCGCCTATCAGTCCTAACCTGGTCAGCTACAGCTGTGCCTTTGTTGGGGTCACAGTCAGCCCCCTAAGTCCCACCTAAAACCAGCCTGGGAACTTAGAAGAACAGGAACAAAGAAGATTCTAGGCAAGAGACAGTAGAGGAGGACTGGAACACATCCCTGACCTCCCACCTCTATACACGCACATCCTTTGCCCATGAAATGAGGGAAAGGAGGACAAAGGTCAGAGTGGCCACATGGGATCAGCTGTATTGCCTCAAAGACAGTATCAGAAAGACCAGACTATTCTTGGACTCTTCTGTCTGGCTTCCTGCCGCTGCTGGCAGGTGACCTTGCTGAACAAAGCCAGAGAGACATGAGACCCAGCAGCTTCCCCAAATTCCGGAGCAGTTCCAGGCATGAGCTAAACTGTTTCCATTGACCTCTCCCCCACTTTCCATGGGCTCTATCAGGCAGGCTGAAGTTGAAGCTGAAGGCCCCGTAAACAGTCAGGGCTGCCATTTCTCTGGAGGACCAAAGGTTGAGGCCCTTCTTACAAACATGGAGGGAGGACCCACGTGGTGCTTGTTCAGCCATGTATCTTGCACTTGCTTATGTCGAACACGTTGCTCCCATGACCACAGCCTGGGCTGCAATGGCCTCAGGCAGGGTAGGTTCTCTGGCAAGAATCCCATCTTTTCCTACTGTATGTTACTAGCCTCCTCTTCCCCTCCCACTTCGGGAAGGGAGCTTGAGAGTGGGGTCTGCAAATTTAACTGCAGGGTCTCAAGTGGTTTGAAGGATAACTGGATGGGAGACCTGGATGCAACATGAAGTTTATTCTATTTATTTGTTTGTTTGTTTATTTTTAATCTTCACCTGAGGACATTTTCCCACTTTTGTTCAGATACAGTGGGAAGGAGAGAGAAGAACAGAGAGAAACATCGAGTGGCTGCCTCCTGCACGACCCCAGCCAGGGCCTAGGACAAATAGCAACCAAAGTATGTGCCCTTGACTGTTAGCTCTTAACTTCCATATTACTGCCCCAAGCCTCTTAAATCTTTTACTTTCATATTGCTGCCCCAAGCTTCTTACCATTTAACCTTGCCCAAAGCCTCTCATTCCAGGAAACCAAACCCATCACCCCAGTCAGGCAGAATGAATGATGGAACTACCCTAACCCACCCAAAACTGCACACGGTGGCTTGGTCGCTCGACAAGAAAAACAAGTTTCAGGAGACCCCAGGCCCGACCAATCAAAGATGACCACGTTTCCTTGGCTGAATGACCACCCCCCCAGCCCTAAGTTTAAAAATCCCTAGTCTGTACAAGAGGGTTGCTACTCTCCCCTTAGAGAGTCAATGTTTTTCTCTCTCTTCCTCCCACTCTATCTGAACAAAAAAATGGAAAAATGTCCTCGGGTGAGGATAAAAAAAAAAAAAAAATGAATGGAGGAAAATAATTGTCTTTCCTCACCAAACGAAAGGTGTCCTGGCTGGGGTCATGCAGGAGGCAGCCACTCGATGTTTCTCTCTGTTCTTCTCTCTCCTTCCCACTGTATCTGAACAAAAGTGGGAAAATGTCCTCAGAGCACGTGCTCGGGGTTGTGGTTTGATCCCCAGTGTGGGGCGTGCAGTTGATGTTTCCCTCATCATCGATGTTTCTATCTCTCTCTTCCTCTCTCTGAAATCAATAAAAATATATTTTAAAAATAAAATAAAATAGGCCCTGGCCAGTTTGGCACAGGGGTTAGAGCGTCGGCCCATGGACCAATGAGTCATGGGTTTGATTCTGGTCAATGTAAGAACGAGGCGAACGAGGCGGTGCAGGGTCTCCAGAAGTGCAGGTTTATTGGGAATTAGCCTGCCGGACTACCTCTAAGGAGAGGAATCAAACCGGGGACCTCCTGATACATAGTTCGATGTTCAACCCCTGAGCCATACCAGCCGGGCTCAACATGAAGTTTAGAAGATTAGGAGTGGAGACCAAAGAAAATTAAAGAGTCTAATGTCAGAAAGGTAGGTGTCAAACACCTTTCGTTTAGTGAGGAAAAGACAATTATTTTCCTCCATTCATTTTTTTTTTTTTATCCTCACCCGAGGATATTTTCCCATTTTTTTGTTCAGATAGAGTAGGAGGGAGAGAGAGGAAGAGAGAGAGAGAGAAAAAAAAACATTGACGTGAAAGGGACACATCGAGTGGCTGCCACCCGCACAACCAACCAGGGCCGGGGACAAACTGCAACTGAGGTACGTGCCCTTAGGGGGAATCAAACCCAGTTCTCTCTGGACCGCAGGCCAACGCTCCAACCGCTGAGCCAAACTGGCCAGGACTCCTCCACTCATTTTTGCTGCTGTTTGAACTTTGAAAGGAAGGCAGGGTGGCTTGAAGCATAGGCTGGATAAGAACTAAGCCAAGGGAGCCCTGGCCACTTTGGGTCACTGGTTAGAGCGTCGGCCTGTGGTCCAGAGAGACCCTGGGTTCGGTTCCTGCTAAGGGCGTGTACCTCGGTTGCAGTTTGTCCCCGGCTATATCGATGTTTCTCTCTTTCTCTTCCTCTTCCTCCTATTCTATCTGAACAAAAGAATGGAAAAATGTCCTTGGGTGAGGATTTAAAAATAAATGAATAATAAAAACTGCTCTATGTTTGCATTTACTTAAAAAAAAAAAAAAAAAAAAAAAGAACTAAGCCAAGGGAGAGAAAGGGCTGTCATCTTAACTGGGCAAAGCACTGGTTTATGGTCCTAGCTTCACCACTCCATAGTTTTGTGTCCTTGGGAAAGTTGTCAAGTCTCCAAGCCTCAAATTCCTCATGTATTAAACAGAATTTGGATTAAATGTCCACTAGGAATCCTTCTAGCTGATGTTACTCCACCTACAAGAGTCCAAATGGTTCTGAGTACAAAGGTCAGGATGTGCCCAGCTTTTGCTGAACCCATTCCATCTGCTGGATTTTCCCATCTTATTTTCGGCTTGAGCAAGCTAAAGATAACTCAGGCATCCAGACGGTCCTTTCCAAGAACCTTCCTCAGCTCGAATAGCTGGAGGATCAGCAATTCCATTAACTAGCAAGGAAGAATACTACTGCAGAATTCAAGGTCACAAGCAAGGACTCAAATCAAGCAGGCCACCAAGAAATTTCTGACTGAGGAGGGAGCCAGTGAGGCAAGTCCTCTGTCTCCCCTTCTTTGTCATGTGTGGACAGAGGACAGAGAAGACAAATGAGACAGAGAGGAACGCCATCTCTCAGTCACCTAATCTGGCCAGACCAATGATAACCTCTCCTCCATTAACTTTTGCCAAAGTGAGACTCACTTTTTCCCCCCCTTTATTGATTCGAGAAAGAGAGAGAGAGAGAAACATCTATGAGAGAGGTCATTGACTGGCCG